CCGAAGCTTTTGGAAAGATTGAAGTGATCGAGGGGTAGTTTCCCAATCTAAACTTTTCTTATTTAATTCAGTTATTTGATCGTTCGCTCCTCGCCGACTTTTATCAGTCTTCACATGTTCAAAAGTCTCAATCGAATCGTTGGCAAGAATCTTTTCAGAAAAAAGTAGGCGAAAGAAACTGACTAAGTAGTGAATTTTTGTAGAAAACGACAGTCGAAATTTTTTTGTACACTAGCAAACAGCTCTTGTTTTCGAAAGCCTGAATACAATGCTGCACTGGTGGTCATATGTACCGCAGTCAATTTTCTCTCAAAGATTACTCCCTTCAAAGGTAGCCGAATTGAAAGATGATATGATGAATACAGATGACCACTAGTGTATTTTGAGCTTTAGAAAACAAAAGATTTTTGCGTGGAAATGACACTTTCTACAAAAAATTTCATATTTACTGTACACACAATACATTTAGATATTCTCTAATCGTTTTTGACAATCAAAATCTTCGCCAGCTATTCAATCCTGGTCAAAATATCACCATCGAGAAGGGGAAATTCCAGGTTTTCGAGATAAAATGAAACTTGTTTAAAGTAGAATTTTCAAGATTCAAAACAATCGAATGCTGTGTTTCAATCGGATTCACGATTTCATGAAAGCCGTCGGAAAAGAAAGCGAAATGGACAATGATGATCAAAGTTCGGATAATAATGGCGAAAAAAGCAATTTGTGAGTGATAGATAAACAAAAATGAAATATTTTAGTGTTTCAGTTGCTAAACGATTTCAATTTTTAGGCGAAGAGGTGGGGTTGGAAGTGAACGAGATCGAGGTGGAGCACAATCGTTTCACCATTGAATGGAAACGTCCGAATGGCAGCGATTTTGACTCCCGAAAATTCCTTGGATATCAAGTTTGTTTAGAGAAATCAAATCAAATTTCTGATTACAAAGAGCTCATTAGGTATTCTACAAGGAGGTGCACAGCATTGATCACAGTATGTCAATTGATGATGACCGATCGGCTTGTTCCGACTCATGGGATATGCGTTTTGAGGTAAGTAAATGACTACCGTATTTTCTCTAATAGTAGTGCACCCTGAGCGTCGCCTAAATTGCTCGAAATCTCAAGAACCGCTTATCAGAACCTATCGATGTGAAAATGAAAATGTAGGGTCGGAAAATGTAGCTGACGATGAGATCTAGTGGGGGATTAGAGTGTTGAGCTTCTGCAAAAGCTTGGAAATCGTAAAATAGTCACCAACTACTATTGGGGTGCACTACTACATATAAGAGAAAATACGGTATGATAAAGTTTCAAACTGAATTCTCCAGCCGGAAATGGACGATGCCACAATTTCAAATCAATCCAAGACAATCGGCGTTTCAAGCTCGTCGGTGATCAAATCCAATACAATGTTTGTGTGCATTCACTGATTTTAAAAAAATAAGTCTCACTTTAGTTATGCTTTCTACGTGGAAACGAGAATTGTGAAACACGATGGAGCGAGAAATTTCGTGTCAAAGATTGGCTTCCTCGTCACCAAATATGAGCCGAATTTCAAGAGGGTCACCCCGCTTTCACCTCACTCGGTAAAATGGCACTTAATTTAAAATCCAAAAAATCTTCATCTACGAAAATTTACAAACCTCAAATACAGGTTGAGATTGAATGGGATGAGCCGACGATGGCGGACGGAAACATCTCTCATTACATCATCACATGGATACGCGAACGCGATGAAGCGATCACTCAACACGCTTGTGATAGGAGACACTCTCACGCCGCGGAACCCGAACAACCAGCCACTGCATCGGTGATGGCCACCTTTTTTACCGAAGGAAGAAGATCAGGGCACTTGCTCAAATGTTTGTTTCTTTGAAGTTCTTAGTCTTTGCTTACTTTATACTAATGCCCGTGTTCTGATCTTCAGGTAGGGCGGTAGCCCACGGTTGTGAAGAGACGGGTATTTCCTTCTCTTTCTTTCTTTCTCTTCCCCCTTGTATTTCCTCTTTCTCCTCTGGCAAGAAGATACCGGATAGTTCAGTGGTTAGGGCATCTGCCTGGCAAAGCAAAAAGGCAAGGAAAAAGGTCTAGAGTTCAATCCCCTTTCCGGAAATCTTTCGTTGTCATTCCTTACTTTACTTTAAGATGTTGTACCCGATTTGAATTTCAATTCAAATCGGATATCTGATTTGGATTGAAACATTATTGCACAATAGGGTACCATGTTTTTAAATCTTTTTAATAATTTTCTAGAAATTTCATAAAAGTTTAACTCTGGCAACCTAGAACAGTCCGTTAGCACCACGTTTTTGCCAAAAAAAGTAGTTTACTTACCCGTTTTGATATGCTTTTGCATTTTTTTTTATGTTTTTATGCTGTTTACGCCTATTTTACGTTGTTGTTTTATACTCTATTGTGCAATAATGTTTCAATCCAAATCAGATATCCAAATCGATTCTACGAGAAATTCAATGACTTCTTGGAACGAAAAAAGACAAGTCAAATTCCAACAACCCAAATCTACAAGCTGATGGTAGATCAAATTAGAAATTTTAGCGAATCAACACTGGAGATGGAGTCACTGGAGACTTCAAAAATGAACTATCATGAAGTCAACTTGCTGAAGTGATGCATCTGAAGTGATGCATCATCTTTCAATCGAAAACACGGGAGTCACTCTTTCTCACAAAGACGAATGACGGAAAGTCGGTAGCGAACCAGAAAGGCAACGAGTAATTCAACAAGAAGAACTCCTCAACATTCTTTACAAAACGCATGTTAAACTGGACTTTTCCTGGACTTTTAGGCAAAAACGTGGTGCTAGCAAACTGTTCTAGGTTGCCAGAGATAAACTTCTATGATTTCTATGAATTCTAAACTTCTATGACTAGAAAATGATTAAAAATATTTAAAACATGATACCCTATTGTGCAATAATGTTTCAATCCAAATCGATTAAAAATCCAAATCGGATACAACAAATACTTGTTAATTTAGCTGCCCGCTTGCTGTCAGTGCGCTGTGCTCCCATCGGCATCCACAAATCCAGTGGACTCACTCCTTGAGGACGACGAGGAGATCTCGCAAAATGCGTATGTCGAGAACGAAATTCGAGATTCAGAATGTGTACAATCATATGTTCACCAATAGGTTTCTTTTGAGATTTACTGCACTAGAAGATAGCAGTAGGATTAACTAAATGTAGATGATTTGCCCTGATCCATTTGCAGTATGTTTGCTGACGAGGGAGATTCACCAAGCTACCACCGGGTTTCGAAACGGGACCTAGCTCATCTAGATCAGTTTTTTTACGCTGATTCCGAATCTGCAGTCAAATCTACCCTGGAGACTATATCACCCATATTCACCGAATCCTTTCGCAACATTGCTACAACAGACAACGCAACAACAGATCCACAAACTTTAAGCTTACTTTCACTGTTTGTCGTCTGCTTCGGCTTCGTCTGCACGAGGCATTGCGTTTGCTTAAATGTACTAACGATCTCTGTCTATTTCTTAACTTAAATCATCTCTTTCTTAACTTTTCAAAATTAACAATTCCTGTGGCTATTTAGTGTAAACTGAAAAATCTAGACAAGTAATTTATAAAATTTTTTAGCAATCAGCGAAGAAAGAGATCAATTGAGGTGTCAACGGGAAAAGATGTCAAAAAGAGAAAAACGGTCAAAGATGGAAAAGAAAAAGCTGGGAAAGCTGCAGGGAAAAGTGTATGTTTTGAAATTATAGCTAGAAATTGCTAGAAATTGTTTTCCTTTTAGCAAACGTCTAAACGATCGGCAGTATTGCTTGCGTCGAGTCACTCACAAGAGACTTCCCCCACTTGGGATTACATTATTCGATCGAAAAATGTCACTGGCACAAGATTCAAGATTGAGAATCTCACCCACTTTGGAAACTATCGGGTATAATACAGGGTGACCAGAAATAACGTTGCGGGATTTTCGGCAGCCTAAAATCCTCATAGTTTCAATTTTGGGAGACAGATTTATTTTTAACCTATTCTCTGTGATTGTTTTTATTAGTTTCTTTGTTGTTTTACTTTGTTTCAAGTCTATTTATTTTTTTATAGGATGACAAACAAGGGATCTGCGATTCTGGAGCTTCATCGTCAAGGTCAATGCTTGAGTGCGATCGCGCGATTGCTACGTGTTTCTCATCAGCTCATCTCAAAAGCGATTAAGTGATACAAGGAGCTTGGCAACGATGGAGATCGTCCAGGAAGAGGCAGAAAAAGAACTGTCAACACCTCCAGAAATCGCAAAGTGATTCAGAAGCGCGTGGCCCGGAATCCACAGGTCTCAATGAGAAAGATCGCTCGATAGACGGGGATCGCTCGCGAATCGGTTCGACTTATGGCCAAAAATGAGCTCAATCTTCACCCTTACAAGCTCAAGCAAGGGCAACAACTCGACGACAACAACAAACGAGTTCGACTCGAAAGATGTCGAGAGCTTCTCAAGCGGGCCGCAACTTCACACTGGGAGCGAATCCTGTTTTCTGACGAGAAGCTCTTCTCGGTGGAGCAAAGCTACAACCGCCAAAACGATCGTATTTGGTCAACGTCCTCTCCAGGCAGCTCTGCGGTTGTTCAACACCGACAAAATCCCAAATCGGTCATGGTATGGCCCGGAATCTGCGCAACCGGCAAAACTCCTCTCATTTTCATTGATTCCGGGGTGAAAATCAATAAGGATGTGTACCAAAAAAGATTCTTGAGGATGTTTTGCTTCCATGGGCTCAACAGCACTTTGGTAACGAATTTTGGACCTTCCAACAAGACTCAGCTCCTTCTCATCAAGCCAAATCCACACAGGACTGGTGTAGGACAAACTTTCCGGATTTCATCTCGGCCCAGGAATGGCCTCCGTATTTGCGTGATCTCAATCCGTTGGACTACAGTGTTTGGTCAATTTTGGAGGCAAGGGCTTGTGCAAAACCCCACAAAAGTTTGGAGGCTCTTAAGCGATCGTTGACCAGGGAATGGGATCGAATCACTCCGGCCGAGCTGCGGCCCATCCTCGAAAACTTCATCAAGCGTTTGAGGTTCTGCATCGGAGCCAAAGGTGGCCACTTTGAAGAAAAGTAGATTTTATACTCTCTTTATATCTGTTGTTAATAAAAAAAATGTTTCTGTTACAAAATTTTTTAGATTTTTAAAAAATAGGCTAAATTAGGCCGCAACGTTATTTCTGGTCACCCTGTACTTTAAAATGGCTTTCAGCTTTAGAAAATGGCTTTTAGATCTCGATTGTTGCTTGTCAAAATGTGAGCGTTGCTGAGAACTCATGCACCAGCTCGTGGAAAAATGTTCGAACAAAGCCAATTCGTGAGTGAACTTACTAAAATCTAAAGTTCTTTTAATCTAAATCTAAAATTCTTTTACATTTTACTAGCAAAAAACTTTAGCTGAATACGATTTGGTGAAAAACGACACGATTCTCGTTGAAGTGATGAATGAAATAACGAACGATGTGAAAGTGAAATGGGATGAGCCGGTTGATCCAAATGGGTTAATCCTTGGATACAGGATTCGTTTAGAGAATCAACTACAGAATGCGGTAAGTGTTGCTAAAGTCTCTAAAGTCTTAAAGAAATCGGAAAGCAAGCGGAAAGCAATAAAGTATTTCAGCACGCTTTCGATCAATGCATGAGTCGATCGCAGTACAACGAGAGCGGCGGCGGGTGGTTGTTTCCGGGTTTACCCGATGGAACGTATAAGGTAACTTTAAGAAATATCTACTATATATGTTATGATCTAGAAATCCGTCCGATCTAGACTGATTCTAGATTAGACTTTCGATCTAGAGTGAAGTGAGGTCAAACGTCCGATTTTGAATCAATCAATCAATCAATCAATCGATCGATCACTCTAACTCAGACGTCCGATGCAGACTTAGATTTAAAGTGATCGGCTTGATTCTAAATCGGACGTTGACCTCACTTCACTCTAGATTAAACGTCCAATCTAGAATCGCTCTAGATTGGACGGATTTCTAGAGCGGACATCACAGGGTGTCCGAAACAAAAGTGATCATCGGTTTGAGTCTGAAAAATTTTTCTTATTGATTTTTATACAAGAGATTATACAAGAACACAGCAATACATTATGATTAGGAATCTACTATATATAAAAAAGCAGTGTATGTTTGTCTGTCTATCTATCTGTCTGTCTGTCTGTCTGTCTGTCTGTTTGTCTGTTTGTATGTCTGTCTGTCTATCTCTCTCTGTCTGTCTGCCTGTCTATGCGGGCATTTTCCCGGTCATGTTTTGCCCAATAAGGCTAAAACCTCTTTAGAAAACCTTAGAATATATTGCAGTTGTGCCATTTAAAATAAAAAATTTTAACAGTCAAAATTGAGTGGCACTAGGGGGGATCGAACCCAGATCATGTGTCCCGTAGACAAGCGCGCTCTCGACTGCACCACGGCGACGCAGTTTGAGCTGACTAGCAATTAGCATATGAGAAACGCATCCGAAAACCGTAAAAAAAGTCAGAAAAACCATTTAGCCATGTCTCTTTTTGCCTTCGGTGGCGCTTGGGAGGAGAGGGGGCGTGGCCAAGGTGGTTAGCGTCCCGTCTACAAAACGATTGCCCTATGGGGGTGTCGGGTTCGATTCCTGTCCGTTCCAAACTTTTTTCTGTTCCCGTCTGTTCCAAACTTAGATTTTTCAAACATGAAGTTGAAGTATGCAAATTTGGGTTGCCTCAGAGCGAAGGTATTGTTACAGGGGTCACAGGAGGGGAGCGGGAAGCGCATCATTCCGCCGAGCGCACCCAATATAGATGTCGTTATTGCTGCGGAGGGTTGGTCTCGTTATTGCTTTTAAGGATTAAGATATCTTTGTGATCCCAGTATTGTTGCAAAGCGCGAGACGTGGCGTTAGTCGCGCCGAGCGCCATTTAACTCGAAAGATAAAACCGTCAGCCCGTCAACGTCAAGCCGAAAACATCGAGCGAGAAAAAACCCGCCGTTAGGCACTTTTTTTGGCTGGTCTAACTAATAAAAGCTAAGAAATCAAAATTTCAAAACGAAAGGATTTTCAGATCGAGATCCGAACCGTGTCACTGGCTAGCATCTCTCAACCGTCTTCACCGAAAGCAATGATTGATGTCTATGCCCGATCGTGGTTCACTTGGAAACGATTACTCATCAGTTTAAAAAAAGATTTTCTATAAAATCTATAAATTTTAGGCTTATTCATTCTCGTTATTCTGATTTCAGTCGGAATTTTGGGAATCTGGTCGATCATGAAAAGATATTATGGAAAACAAGTGAGCAAACGATTTGTTGTTGATTCAAAATGGCGTTTGAATCAACAATTTGGGTTTAGTGTGGTGAATTCGTGCGACATGTCTCCGCAAATCCGGAATATCTTTCACAACTGGAAGTTTATAAACAAGTGAGTATGAGAGAATCGAGTTTTTTAGAGATAGAGAGATTCTAGGATGCCTGGGAGTTGCGAAGGGAAGACTTGGAAATGGAAGAAGAGATCGGAAGTGGATCTTTCGGAAAAGTATAGATAATATTCATATAAAATTTCATATTATTGCATTTTCAGGTCTACCGAGGTCATGCTCGTCAAGTGAAATCATTATGCGGAGTGATTTTCGGCGATTGTGCTATTAAGACCGTCACCGGGACAACTTCAGCTTCTGATCGATTTCATTTCCTACTCGGTAAACTTTGTTGTCGTTACTATTCAAAAATCTACAATTTAAAGGATACAAATCCTTATAGCTTATAGCTTATAGATTATAGATTATAGCTTATAGATTATAGATTATAGCTTATAGATTATAGCCATAAAAGCTTATAGAAGCGTCTGTGATGAAGCAATTCAACACAAACTTCATCGTCAAGCTTTATGGAGTTGTCTCCGATGGGCAACCGGTGTTGGTGGTGATGGAAATGATGTCAAAGGTAAAAGAAAAGCAGGGAAAAATTAGAGGATACTAAGGTTATAGAGGATACTAAGGTTATAGACAATACTAAGGTTATATATCCCCATACCTTAACAATTATCTATTTAAAAATGCCTACCATAGCATGTGCATTAACCCTATAAAAGAAATGATAAATAGATGCTGATAAAGGTAGCCCCCACCAAGATACTATCCGGTTATACATCCCATACCTTAACAACTAGTTCAACCTTAACAACTAGTAGATAAAACAATATTATAGGTTTAAGCTAGATAGTTATTAAGATTTTACAACATTTCGCAGTAAGACACTTTGCTGTAAGACACTTTGCCATAAGACACTTTGCTGTAAGACACTTTGCCATAAGACACTTTGCCGTAAGACACTTTGTCGTAAGACACTTTGCTGTAAGACACTTTGCCGTAAGACACTTTGCTGTAAGGCACTTTGCTGTAAGACACTTTGCTGTAAGACACTTTGCTGTAAGACACTTTGCCGTAAGACACTTTGCTGTAAGACTTTTTGCTGTAAGACACTTTGTCGTAAGACACTTTGCTGTAAGACACTTTGCTGTAAGACACTTCCCGGCATTACTGCACCGAAACACAGTTATTTCAATGTCTAGTCAGTTACCTATCATGTTTACTTATCAGAATGGACATTTCGCTGAAGAATATTAGTGCTGGAGTTAGCGTAGTATTACTGTTGGGAGTTCAAGTTGTACATGTGACTACATATTTATGGCGATGTGCCTTATGGCGAAATTTCTCATTCCCTTATTAAGGTATGGGGATGTAGAACCGGATAGCATCAAATAAAGCAAAGAAAAACTTACAGGGAAATCTGAAAGATTTTCTGCGTTCACGAAGACCGGGCGCTGAAGAGAACACCAAAGATCTGCCAGTGCCCGCGGAGACTCAGTACTTCGAGTGGGCCTCGCAGATCGCCGATGGAATGGCCTACCTTGAGAGTCTCAAATTCTGTCACAGAGATCTTGCGGCCAGGAATTGCATGGTTTGTTGGGAAATTCCCTTCAAATGTAAAGATATTCAATTTACTCGACGTGTAAAGAGGATTCCTCGTAGTTACTCGACCAACGTCGGTTAACCAAGAGTGAAACAAATGCGACCTTTCCTTTTGCTCACCCGGCACACTAGCGCATCGTTTTGGCGCTCTGATATGTCAAAATTTGGATTCTAGGCCCTAAAATTACCCAGAAAAACAACTTTTGGAATAGAAATTGATTAATATTAGCTTTTTAGAGATTTTTAGAGCTTGTTAGAGCTTGTTAGAGGTTTTTAGAGATTTTTAGAGCTTTTTAGAGCTTTTTCTACGCGAAAAAAGGTGCGCCAATGTGTCCGGATGCGCAAAAAAGGTAGCATTTGTTCCAATACCGGTTAATCGAGTAGAAATTACTTATGCAGGTTCTATTCGAGTAATATAGTAGACTGATGGTAGACTCGTGATAGTAGACTGATAGTAGACTCGCAAGGAAAAGACTCTAATCAACAGTGGCTCTCAAAGTGAATTTTCTAGGTGCAAGGCGATGAAACGGTGAAGATCGGGGATTTCGGAATGACTCGCGATGTCTACTATCAAGAATATTATAAACCAACTGGAAAGAGAATGATGCCGATCAGGTAAAAGAAAAGGAGATAAAATACCGTAAAAGCGCTAATAGAATTGATTATGATAGAAAAACAAGGCAAAAACAAGCGACATTTCGAATCCTAATAGAAAACCCGGGACTTTATATCTATTAGAGTTCTATTAGAGTCTATTAGAGTTTATTGGAGTTCTATTAGAGTTCTATTAGAGTTCTACTAGAGTTCTACTAGAGTTCTATTAGAGTTCTAGCAGAGTTCTATTAGAGTCTATTAGAGTTCTACTAGAGTTCTAGCAGAGTTCTATTAGAGTCTATTAGAGTCTATTAGAGTTGTATTAGAGTTCTAGCAGAGTTCTACTAGAGTTCTATTAGAGTTCTATTAGAGTTTTATCAAAGTTCTATTAGAGTCTATTAGAGTCTATTAGAGTTTATTAGAGTTCTATCAGAGTCTATTAGAGTTCTATTGGAGTCTATTAGAGTCTATTAGAGTCCATCAGAGTTCTATTAGAGTTCTATCAAAGTTCTATCAAAGTTCTACTAGAGTTCTACTAGAGTTCTATCAGAGTTCTACTCGAGTCTATTAGAGTTTTTACGGTACTTTTTCAGATGGATGGCTCCCGAATCGTTGAAAGACGGAAAGTTCACCTTGAAGAGCGATATTTGGTAATGAAATCTGGGATCATAATCATGAAATCTGGAATGTGCACAAGCAAATTTTCCAGGTCCTACGGAATTGTGCTTTATGAAATGTTGACCTTGGCTCAGCAACCCTATCAAGGACTTGCCAACGATGAGATTTTCAATTACGTCGGTGTTTCGCGAAAGATCTTGAAAAAGCCAATAGATTGTCCGGATTTTTGGTGACGAAGAATTTCATTTCTTGGTTTGTAAATCGATTTTTGCTAGGTATAATCTAATGGCTTCGTGCTGGCGATATGATCCGAGAGAGCGGCCATCTTTCCATCAACTCGTTCACAATCTCGTCGATAAAGCCTCCGATTCGTTTAGAGAAGTAAGAGTTTAAATAAAAAAGAGAAAAAGTCACTGTTATTGCTTCATTTTATCGCTTAAATGGATCAATCAATCAAATGAAATTTTAGAAATCGCACGTGATCAACAGCTTGATAATGGGCAACGATGAAGAGCCATCATCTGCGCTTTCGCCTCGGAAATTTCGAAATTCTGTGGGAGAAGTGGGAGAAGTGAAATGAAAGAACAGAAACTATTGTATTGTTTAGGTGATGCTGGAAATGGAGGAGATGAATCAGGGTTTTCGACCGAGTATCACTGATGACAATGTTTTTGAAAGTGATTTACCCATTCGACAGCACGATTACATCTCGTCGGAACTCGATGATTCGACTTGTCTTGATGTGGTTCGTTTTTGGGAATGATGCATTTTAGCATTATCTTTCGTAATATCGTAAAGCATTATCTTTATTGCAATTCTACCGTAAATATTCAAATGTTTGGGTGAAAAGCAAAGCAATTCGGAATGAAAGCAGCGCTAATATATCTCTCGAAAAATGAAAAGATTGCCAATGCTTATTGCCAATGCAATAAGTTCGGTCAATAACTTTTTCCCATTTTCTCTACTTTAATTTGATACCTAAGCGCGCAGAAATAAACGTATTGCTGCTGAGATATGAGCGTTTGTTTCAGAGTAAACTTAGACTATGCGATCCTATAGCTCATCTAATAGAATATTTACGATATTTGAAAATTTCAGAACGGAAGCTCTTCCCAATGGTCATCGGGTCGAGAGGGCCGGAAGAATCGAGCCCTGGGCGAAATGCCCGGTCTAAACGAGGACCACGGTTTCATCGAGCCACCCATCAAGCCGCCCATCGAACGGCCCATCGAGCGCCCCATCGAGCCGCCCATCGAGCCGCCTATCGAGCCGCCTATCGAACAGTCCATCAAGCCGCCCATCGAGCCGCCTATCGAGCCGCCTATCGAACAGTCCATCAAGCCGCCTATCGAGCCGCCTATCGAGCCGCCTATCGAACAGTCCATCAAGCCGCCCATCGAGCTGCCCATCGAACAGTCCATCAAGCCGCCCATCGAGCCGCGTATCGAGCCGCCCATCGAACAGTCCATCAAGCCGCCCATCGAGCCGCCTATCGAACAGTCCATCAAGCCGCCCATCGAGCCGCCCATCATCGAGGATTAAATTCGAAAGATAGATTTCTCCACAATATAACTTCTCAATCTGAGCTTATATCATAATATTCAGGTGTCAAGCTTTCAAATGTTTTCTTGATTTTTGTTTTTTTTATTTTTCCTTAAAAGCACGTGTATTTTCTATTTTCTCTGTGATTTCTTTTTTCTTCTCGTTCATTTTTTAAGTCTTTTATTTGTCGATATTTTGCGCATTCTTAAATTTTCATTTTTTCTCGACAACCCTGAACAAAGTCCATTTCTTTTCTATCTCCAATAAATTATTGTTTATCATTTATGAGAAATGAGGGAAGAGAGAAGAGAGAAGAGAGAAGAGAGAAGAAAGAAGAGAGAAGAGAGAAGAGAGAAGAGAGAAGAAAGATGAGAGAAGAGAGAAGAGAGAAGAGAGAAGAGAGAAGAGAGAAGAAAGAAGAGAGAAGAAAGAAGAGAGAAGAGAGAAGAGAGAAGAGAGAAGAAAGATGAGAGAAGAGAGAAGAGAGAAGAGAGAAGAGAGAAGAGAGAAGAGAGAAGAGAGAAGAAAGAAGAGAGAAGAAAGAAGAGAGAAGAGAGAAGAGATGTCATAGAAAGTGGGGAATTATGAAACTATCAAAATTTTTGATCCTTTGGAAGGACGCAGAAGTCGGCACGAAAGCACAGAAAGATCTGACTAGAGAATGTTGTTAACTTATCATCGCTTTTTGACTAGCCTATCTATCTAGGCTATTTAAGCCTATTTAAGCTTCTAAAAAAGCAAAAAGTCCACATTAGGACCCCAAACCCAATGGCCATCTTTAGGACCCCTTCTGGCCTCAGCAGGACCACTCGCAGGACCGCAAGGGGTCCTGCGAAGCTTGCGAAATAATGCAATACTCAAAACGACTCAAAATACAGCTTTACTGTGCTCAAAACATTGAAATAAAAATGCAAAAAACTGATCCAAGGGGAATCGAACCCAGATGGGAAAAATCGGAGGCAGCGAGAAGCACTACCACTGCACCACCAAGTCATTTTTTCCCTGGGTGATGGTAGCCGTTAAAAACTCAAAAGTTGAACTAGGGGGGTCAAATTTCAAATGCATTTTTACAGAAATCTAGAGCGTATGAGCAAAAACTAAAAACGTGATCGTGTTGCCCGTATCCGACTTGCGTAAGTCATATCACTTTGATTCGAATTCTTTCGAATCAAAGTTTCGAATCAACTCGAAATCTGACCATTTCCCAATGGACACTTTCACTCAAAAGCTTGTCACACGAGTTGTATGCATCCAATTCAGCGATTTTTCTTAGATAAACGTAGCCAAGAATTAGGGCTTCAAATCTCTATTTAACACTTATCGTTTTTGAAATAATTTAAACATTTGGCTGCTTTTACAAAAAGTTGTTCAGGAACTTTTTGATGAGCCTGTAGAACCGAAATTTGTAGTCAGGAGTTGCTTGGCACGGCTTCGGCACGGCTTCGGCACGGCTTCGGCACGGCTTCGGCACGGCTTCGGCACGGCTTCGGCACGGCTTCGGCACGGCTTCGGCACGGCTCATTTCCAAAAAAACGCCAAAGATTCAGCATCTCTTTGAACACTTTTGTTGGCACGGATGACTTGAGTAACTCAAAATGCTCAACTTTAAGACGATATAACAATGCTGAAAACTCCAATCAACTAGATGATTGGAGCATCGCGACAGGAAAAGAAAAGAACAAAGATAGCTGCGACGGTTGACGATTGATTCTCAACTGTCGACAAGTTTCAAAAAGAACAGAAGTAGCTACAGCGAGAAATGTTTACATTGTGATTGCAAAATGATCCCAATTTGACGCTGAGACAAACTTTGTCCCTTTCAACAAAAGCAAAACTCATCGATTTTTCTTCATGCTCTTTCTAGGCACTCTAATTCTTGCAACTCTCAACTTGTCATCGGCAAATCGGTGTCCGAATGAGTGGAAGGAGTTCTCCGGACATTGCTATACAGTTTGTTAACAAGTTTGCTGATCTGAAAAGTTTTTGTCAACAAAATTAGCGTATTTTCTCTAATAGTAGTGCACCCAGCCGAGTTGATGACTATTTACGGCTTCCAAAGTTTTCCCAGAAGCTCAACACTCTAATCCCCCACTAGATCTCATCGTCAGCTACATTTTCCGACCCCACATCGATATGTTCTGATAAGGGGTTCTCGAGATTTCGAGCAATTTAAGCAAAGCTTATGGTGCACTACTATTAGAGAGAATACGGTAAATGGCCAAGCATTTACGTTAAGAGTTTAGGTTGGGATGAGCGATCGATCTAAGAACTTCCTTGAATAGCCTAATAGCCTAATAGAATCGTGTTATCATGGAAAAGTTGTTAGCGTTATGATTTGATTGAGGATTACTTGAAAGAACTCACCGACCAGACTTGATCCGAGAATCCCAGGCAAAACACCGCCCCGTAAACCCTCGGAAACCGTTTTCCCGTAGAGTTGATATTGGAGACCTGAAAGATGAGTTTTCTCTAATAGTGCGAGCCGAGTTGATGACGATTTTACGGTTTCCAAGCTTTTGCAGAAGCTCAAGAGTCTAATCATCGTCAAGATCTGATCGTCAGCTACATTTTCCGACCCCACATCGATCGGTTCTGATAAGCGGCTCTCGAGATTTCGAGCAATTTAGGCGACGCTCTTAAATCTTAACCTACAGACGTTTCTAATCTGTAGGTTAGAAACGTCTGTAGCCTAAGAGCCTAAATTTTTGTTCAACTAAAAAAGTCGCTTAATGATCGCTTAATGAGTATAACTTTTAACTAAAAACAACAATGATATTCAACAAATAAGCCGCTTATTGCTTCTCTAGATTTTTCTAAGAAAACAAATGTATTTTCAGAAAGTCTTTGCCTCAAACACAAATTGGGAGAAAGCTGAAAAGATTTGCAAGAAAATGAGTGCAAATCTTGTATCGATTCACGATAAAAAAGAAAACGATTTTGTGATCGGTAGGTTATTGTTTGGTTTTGGTTGTACAATTGGTTGTACTTGCAGACAATTGGTTGTACTTTTCAAACAATTGGTTGTACTTGCTTTTCACAGAAAGCAAGTACAACCAATGTTATGCAAAATCTTTCCTCAAATTATCTGGCTTCTAGCTAGGAGATTAACAAGGCTTCTAGCAAGGCTAAAATGATCAATGTCTAATTTTTAACTAAAAGAAAACAATAATGCTCAACTAATAGGCTTATTAGTTCTCTTCTAGCTTCTAGTTTCATTAACAGTTGAACTCTTTGGGATAAATTGACTTCACTTTTAGAAACAACGTTCTCAACATCATGTGAAAGAGATCGAATGTCGTGGATCGGCTTGAGGGTAGGGAAAAGTTACTTTTTGTTGAGCGTACTTGTCAAATGATCGGCTAAAATAACCTTTCAAAAGGATTTTTGTACACGACGCGCGAAAATGACTCATAGCTTAATATAAATATGACGAAAACCGGACGAATGCATTTCCTCTTTCAGATTTCCCCAGCGATGTAGCTCTTAGGCTGTAGCTCTTAGGCTGTAGCTCTTAGGCTGTAGCTCTTAGGCTGTAGCTCTTAGGCCGTAGCTCTTAGGCCGTAGCTCTTAGGCTGTAGCTCTTAGGCTGTAGCTCTCAAGCTCAATATGTTGTGTGTGAACTGTTTGGATCTACGGGATCGGCGAAGTTTGTTGTGTGGTTGACCCAATTGAAGTTTTCGGGATGAGAAGCAAGCCTTAGATAGCCAGCAAGCCATAAAAGATCATCCATCAGAAATGATCCGTGACCATAAAAAGTCTATTTTGCCATTAACATCCCGCCTAGCTAATTTTTTTTCCCTGAAATCCCCCTTAGATAATAGTTCCTTCTCCCAGGTAACACAAAAGTACCTTCAAGCACTCGAAAGTGCGCGCTGAAATGCCAATAGTACATTTTTTTAGCAGAGATAAACTGGGTTCAGGTCAAAACACTGAAAACTTTGCTGTAGGATTTCAGAGCGCAATTCTTAGTGCCAAGCCTAAGCTGAGAGCCTAAGCCGAAGCCGTTTTAGCCAGTCATTTGACAGTTGAGGTTGACAGTTGAGCTTGACAGTTGAGCTTGGCAGCTGAGCTTGACAGCTGAGCTTGACAGTTGAGCTTGGCAGCTGAGCTTGACAGCTGAGCTTGACAGCTGAGAGTATAACTTAAATTCATGCTTAAATTTGTTTTTATTATCAATTTAGAGAAAGCTTCACTCAAAGAATCGGGCATGGGAATGGAGTGATGGAAGTGAGGTGGATTACACGAGATGGGCCGTTGGTGAGCCGTGGGAAAGCTCAACTGGATGGAATTGGGCATATGTTAGTTGATGAAGCTAGTAATATGAAAGAAAACCCTTCAATACATTAGCAGCAAAGTTTTCTGCAAACTTTTCTTTCAGATTGACACCAATGGAGCGTGGTTCAGCATGGAGAAAAGGGCGCTGAATTTCGCTGTCTTCTGCAAGCGAAAAGTTCCTTAATAGGATCTTCGATAACTCACTCTTTGCATTGTTTTCAATTGATTAACCACTAAATAAACAAGTTTACTTATTATATTCTGAGCATATAAAAAAAGTCCTCTGTCCTTTGTTCTTTGTCCTTTGTTCTTCTACAGGGTTGAAATGGAAATTCGGTTTTTTCAATTATCGAAACTCGATTTTTCGACTCTAACTCGGCACCCAATCATTCAATTCCCCTAATGTATTTCTATGAAATTTCAAGTTAATTACTGCATTCACTTTCAATGTTTAGTTCAGAAACACAGTGTTACATCTTTTTATAATATTTCAAAGTTCAGAGATTCCAACCTCTCGACAGAATCATTCTTTGACAGAATTGACAGATGCCGACTGTGCAGAGGGAAAAGAAAACGGTGTTCATTTTGAGATCGTTTTCAATCCGTTGCTTGAGTATTTTTCATAATCTCTTATATACTGACTGTTTAAAGGTCAAAGAATTTGAAACTCTTGAAATTCACGACTTTCAGGCTCTCGTCAGCTGCTCAAACAGTTCGAAACTTTCCATTCCCGTCATCCCCATCACCTCTCAACTTTTTCGGCGCATTTGTGTAAACTTTTCATTGGAATTTCTCAATGAAAAGTTGGCAAAGTTATGCTTTCAGATTAACTCCAAAATTTGATCTTTTGAAAGATTGATTCTGGAGAATGATCATTTTGGAGAAACATAAATGATTTTGAGAAAAGTTTCCAATTGTAACCAATTATATAATGTTTTAAATGATTAAGAAAGAACTTGCTAACACGAAAAACAAATCGGCTGATTGTTGTTTTTCTTGTTGAGGCTTCAAATTCATGTCGTTGCTCATAGCAAACGTCAGAACTGAAAATATAACCACGATTCTATCTATTAGGGTGGTGCAAAAGAAACTGCCGATGGGTATCAGCTCTCATTTATCTCTTATGCTGAGAATTGACCTCGATCCGTACCCTTTAAGATAATTGATTATCGCGAAAAACTTAACAAGAACTTAAGAAGAACTTAAGAAGCATTTAAATGTTATTTCTTTCTCAATCTTATTGCTTGATTGCAATCGGGGAATGTGTGGCGAATTGCCACTGCTCTGCAGTTAATAAAAATTCAATACACAAGTTAAAGTTCAAAGTTGATGGATAAACTGCCGTAATCAGCCAATAGACGATATTCAGTTGTCCGTTTGTCGTAGCTTGTGTACTTCAAAACCCATTATTTAAGCTTGTTTTAAAGTAATGAAGCATTACTTTAAAGCATTATTTTAAAGCATTACTTTAAGAGTCAGTCGTGTGCTCCCTTTTCTATTCATCCCTTTTTCACACGCAAGTGTTGAAGTAATTGTGATAGTGCCAGGTTGCTCCAGTTTGAGCGAAGTTTGCCCTAATAAGAGAAAGTTTTGATAAATTTGTGCGTTTTCAAGACATCTACCATTGAACCACACCGAGACACGGATCTCACAAGGAATTATAAAGATCAGAGTATAAATATATCTCTTACAGAATGTATTCTTTTTTGTTTGTCTTACGGAGGCTTACATCCTGTCTTACAGACAAAGAGTAAAGGAAGCTATGCGTACGGAAACATTTCTCAATAACATTTCTCAATCCAAGTGTATGAGCGAAAACTTTTTCTTGCAGAAACTTGCAGAGAAACTCTTCATTGCTTTAAAACAAGTTCAACAATGTGCGCATTGTTGTTTGAGGTGATCGATAGTGCACATTCTTGCGCAGCAACTTTCGGCGAGGCTCTTCCTTTTGCGGGATGGATAAGTGTCCCTTTTCACGCGAAAGTCGAAGCTGTCATCGAGTTCTGGTTTCAACGGTTTTATACACCCATTGCAAACCTGAAAAAAAAACATTTTAAAACTCTTTTTGTCATAGAACACGTGTCTCTGTGGACTTTGATAAATTGATAAATGCAATTTAAATGTTTTATCTTTTCCTTTCGCTCCACATCTTTTGTAGTTCTTGTAAGTTAATGAATAAACGGATTTAAATGACTTAGATTTTTACCTGTTGAAGAGCATCAAGCAGATCTCTTCCACAAAGACGCATATATTTTCCCTTACCCATCTTCGATTGACAACGCATTACGGAGATCAATCCGAAAAGAAAAAGAAGAATAGGAATGATTTTCATTGTTCCTGAAATTACAAATGTTTAGAGCTTTCTCGAGAAACATGAAGCCAAAAAAAGAATGTAAATAACATCTAAGATAATAGAAATAATACCTTAACATGTTTTAAACTTGTGACTGAAAAAGACTTTTTCAATACACTAGAGTAAAACTAAATGATATTATTGATAGTGCGAGATTTTAACTAACAAACGTTCAGCTCTGGCTTTATATATCATCTGTGACCTCAATTGTTTAAAACAACGACGATGTGTCATGGTTTATAAGTTTTTTTTAGTGAAACGCAAAAAGATGTCTACTGCCGGCTTTCTCAATAGAGAAATTTCTCTAGCTTTTGTCAATATAAAAACACAAGCAATGTGTTGGAGATTTTTTGCAAAAAGTCAAAGTATTTTTTGCAATCTGACTGATGCAATCTGATTGATGCAATCTGACTGATTCAATCTGCCAATAAGGATAGAAATAGAGACAGCACTACTGTAGTTTTCAGAAGAGGATTTCTTTTAGGAAACGGGTTAAAGTCTACAGTATCACGGTACTTCTGCAGCTTGTTTAAGAGTTCATTAGCACTGACATTGAGCTAGAAACTAGACATTGAGCTTGATTCTAATTCGATAGCAATGACATGATAACAATGGAAGATTTCGAGCAGATTGGCATGGATCGACCTGAATAACGTCCCTCAGTTTGGCTTCGTTCACGACTTCTGGCCTCGAACCGTGCTCGTAGTCTTCCAAAGTCTCGTCTCCCTCTCGGAATCGTTGAAACCAAGTCTGACACTGCCTGAGAGACAACCTGCCATCTCCGAAAGTAGCAAAGAGAGAACGATTCGATTCGGCATCGTGACCGTGAGCACCGTGAGCGTCGCCTAAATTGCTCGAAATCACCCTGTACATATTGTATAGCAAAATTTGCTTTGATAGCTACCGTATTTTCTCTAATAGTAGTGCACCGTGAGCGTCGCTTTTGCTTGAATTGCTCGAAGCTCGAGAACCGCTTATCAGAACCTATCGATGTGGGGTCGGAAAATGTAGCTGACGACGAGATCTAGTGGGGGATTTGAGTGTTGAGCTTCTGCAAAAGATTGGAAACCGTAAAATCGTCGCCAACTCGGCTCGCCGGGGTGCACTACTAAGGTGCGTTGCAAAATGATAGAACCACCCCTAAATTTTACATTTTTTGGCTATGAAATTTAATAACGCGAAATAGCTTTTAAATCCTAGAAATATATACAAAAATAGGCATTTATACCATTTTTAACATTATCTGGACAAATTGCAACAAAATTATAACATTTTCTTTATTTAACACCTGTTGCGAAATGATAGGACCACATAAAAAATAACAATAAATTTGAGAATAAACAAAAGAAAAACGAATGAAAAGTTCATTAATAATCAATAGAAATCTCCCTTTTTCTCGATGACGTCGAGTAGTCGACTTTTGATCGAGTTCACCAAGTTTTGAAGCGTATGTGATGGAATTGACGTCCAAGCTTGCAAAATTGCTTTTTTTTTGATTTGCGAAATCGTGTCGTAAGTCTTTCCATTAGCATAAATATTCCTCACGAGGATGTCCCATAAGTTTTCCATTGGATTTAAGTCCGGTGAGCAGGCAGACCATTCGAGAAAATCGATGTTGTGACGTTCCAGAAAAGCTTTAGTGGATTGGCTGACATGAATTGAGGCATTATCCTGTTGAAAAATATAGTGTTTCCCTCGATTTTGTGCTAGGAAAGGAAGTAGTTGATCCGCAAGGACATCCTGGTAATCGTTCGAGTTCATGCGACAAGTCACAAATTCTAAATCAAGAACGTCATCCACATTGAAAGCGTCCCATATCATCAGCGATCCTCCTCTGAAGTTTCGACGCCCACAAAGCATTGGATATTTTCTCAAATCGTGCAAATAGTACTTGTTGCCGTCGGGAACATCCAAATTAAATTTGTTCTCATCGCTGAAGATGACCTACAAAGAAAAAATAGTTAACAACTCAAGGTAAAAGTTTACTTTTTTCCAATCGATGGTGATGTGATCCCAAGACATCCTTTTTTCTTTGTGTGCCGGCTTCAGTTTTGGTGCTTTCTTCATGATTGCTCTTTTGATGTAACGGATGTAACACTTGATGGCTCGAAAAAGAGTGCTTTTGTGGACGGGAGCTCCAATTTGTACCTTGACGTCCGGTAGCGACATCACCGAATTCGACATTCGACAATTCGACAACAGACGTCCCATATGCCGTTCAGCGCGGACCGTGAGCTTTCGATGACGTCCCGAAGACTTTTTCTTGCCATACTTAAAAGGATCCCTCAAGAAATTTGAGACAACTTGTTGCGAGCGCTTTATTTTTTTTGCGATCTTCCGATTCGACAACTTTCTTCCTTTCAAAATCAAAATTTTCATCTGTTCGATCGGCGAAAGCGATTTTCCACGCCCCATCTTCCTAAAAAATAAAAATTAGCAAAAAGTAAGCAAAAAAACATGGTTATTACAGGTAGAAAAACAAAATGGAACGTAGTGGTCCTACCATTTTGCAACAGGTGTAAAATAAAGAAATGCTTCAAAAAATTTTGCCTTTTAAAGTGAATTATTTGGCAAACGGTATTTGGTTCGATTCTTTTACTTTTAAATAACTAAAAATTAGCATTTTTAGTTATTTAAAATCAAAACTCGCAAAAATCGAGGGTGGTCCTATCATTTTGCAACGCACTGTATTAGAGAAAATACGGTAGGCAAAAAGAATTATTTGAGGGCCAAATTGCATAAGTCTCATCATATTTTTGCTTTTTGCCCTATCATTTTTATGCTTTTATGGACACCAATACACTAAATAAAAAAAATAATCGTAATTTTAGGGAAAAACAGGTTTTGTTGCGAATTGGCCCCGATCCGTACCCTTAAAGAAAATTGATTAGCGTGAAAAACTTAAGAAGGACTTAAGAAGAACTTAAGAAGCATTTAAATGTTATTTCTTTCTCAATCTTATTGATTGATTGCAATCGGGGCATCTGTGGCGAATTGCCACTGCTCTGCAGTTAGTCAAAATTCAATACACAAGTTAAAGTTCAAAGTTGATGGATAAACTACCGAAATCAGCCACTAGACGTTATTCAGTTGTCCGTTCGTCGTAGCTTGTGTACCTCAAAACCCATTATTCAAGCTTTGTTTTAAAGTAATGAAGTAATGAAGCATTACTTTGTTCTTTGAGGATGACAGCTTCGACCTTCGCGTGAAAAGGGACACTTATCCATCCCGCAAAAGGAAGAGCCTCGCCACAAGTTGCTGCGCAAGAATGTGCACTATCGATCACCTCAAACAACAATGCGCACCGTGTTGAACTTGTTTTAAAGCAATGAAGAGTTTCTCTGCAAGTTTCTGCAAGAAAAAGTTTTCGCTCATACACTTGGATTGAGAAATGTTATTGAGAAATGTTTCCGTACGCATAGCTTCCTTTACTCTTTGTCTGTAAGACAGGATGTAAGCCTCCGTAAGACAAACAAAAAAGAATACATTCTGTAAGAAATATATGACTCTGACGAAGACGCGCCACGGTCTCAGGGAGCAATTGCCCTGGGTCTCCGAATTTTAGAGTCTTTGCTTTGACGGAGCGTTGATTGAACTGTGCACCACTGAGCTTTCCGACAATTCCCTTGGCTTTAAAGTACCCGGGTACTTAGGAGTATATTTATACTTTGATCTTTATAATTCCTTGTGAGACCGTGTCTCGGTGTGGTTCAATGGTAGATGTCTTGAAAACGCACAATTTATCCAAACTTGCCCTTATTAGGGCAAACTTCGCTCAAACTGGAGCAACCTGGCACTATCACAATTACTTCAACACTTGCGGGTGAAAAAGGAATGAATAGAAAAGGGAGCACACGACTGATTCAAAACAAAGTTTAAATAATGGGTTTTGAAGTACAGAAGCTACGACAAACGGACAACTGAATATCGTCTAGTGGCTGATTACGGCAGTTTATCCATCAACTTTGAACTTTAACTTGTGTATTGAATTTTGACTAACTGTAGAGCAGTGGCAATTCGCCACACATTCCCCGATTGCAATCAAGCAATAAGATTGAGAAAGAAATAACAGTTAAATGCTTCTTAAGTCTTCTTAAGTTCTTTGCGATAGTCAATTTTTTAAATGGGGGTGTTTCTTTTATGGCCGGTTCTCCGTCAAAACTCGTATAATGCCAATGTAGTAAAGAATTTAATTCAGCAAAAAGCTTCTGCTTTCAACAATTTATGCACAAATCCTTTCAAAGAGCTATGTGAAATGAATTTGGTGAAAGACAAGAAAAACATCAAAATAATGAATTCAGGCGCTGACTTTTTATCCGAAATTCCGCTGGATTCCGCTGGATTCCGCTGGCATTCAGACTTTCAAAAAAGCCTTTTTCTCGATCCACAAAAATCAATTGTTTTCAAAATTTACACCAGCATCGTTTTTGTCAATTAAAAACTTTTTCGAGCTTTAAAGCTTTTTGAGTTTTGAGCATTGAACTTTTAATTACAAATCGGGAAATCCCATTTGATTACAAACAAGTTTACTTATAACTTTTTACCAATTTTCCTAGTGAACTTGACAACAAAAACAACAACAACACAATGCTCTTGGAAATGGTGGCTGATTTGAGTCAAAGAGTTGACACGGATTCCCCGATTTACTGGTGATTGATCCATCAAAAAAAGCTGCAGTCTTATGTTAGATCTAGATAAAGTGATGAAAAGTTTACTGTTTAGAAACTGTTTACTGTTTTTTTTCAAGTCACTTGCTAGTTATCAGCATTTATTAGCATTTAATAGCTTTACATTGAGCTTTTAAAGCTTTTTTTAAAGGTCTTTTAGTAAGTTTTTAATCAAATCACAGAAAAGAGAGGAAAATTGTGGAAACTTTTGGAAATAGTTGACGTTGAAAGGCTTTTGTCAGAAAGGGATCACGTCTTTCGTTTGCGGATTGTTGCTGAAATCTTTTTTTGTTTAATAATTTGTTTGTTACAATTTGTTTTTTACAATTTGTTTATTTAACAATTTGTTTGTTACAATTTGTTTCTTTTAACACTTTAACACTTGTTTAACACTTTTTTTGATCCTATTTTATTATTAAAACTAAAACAGCAAAAGAAATCACCAGTTCAAAAGAATTTCTTCTGAAAACCTTTACACTATTCGCTAGAAATTCTATTCTATCTGTGAAGAAGATGAAAAAAAAGAAAATGAAGATTCAAAGCAACTAAATCCAATTTTCTTTCCTTTAATACTTTTGAAAAACTTTCTAGCGTTTTCTAGTGTTTTCTAGAGTTTTCTAGATACTTTCTAGAGTTTTCTAGATACTTTCTAGTGTTTTCTAACTTTCTGTGTTTCTAGTGTTTTCTAGATAACTCTAGCTAACTCACAGAGTTCCTCCGACTCCCACGGGAACGGGATTCCCCCTCCAACGTACAATACTATTTTGTGTGATCACTTTTCCATTAGCAATTGCACTCTGTCGCTCACTCCACCCAACTGGAGGCATCGCCGGATTCGAAGCCTCTTGAGCGTTCAACCATTCTTTCTCCGGGCTCCCTTGATGCCATTCTGAAATGAAAAGTTTTATATGAAGCCATTTTTATGCATAAAGTGATGCTTGAATGGTGGCTAATTTGTAGTTCTTTCTGTACAGTAACTAACTTATATACAGTAGCGCTCAAAATGCTCAAAATGATGGTCAAAATGCTCAAAATGCTCAAAATGATGGTCAAAATGCTCAAAATGCTCAAAATGATGGTGGTAGACGGTAGACATGGTTATCGAATCGATACAAATCGGATCGGATCAGAATCGATCCAAACTGATAGGGCGATCGGGCTAACTCGATAGGTCCGGCTGATCGGACTAGCCCAATAGGTCTGACCAATCTGGCCAGCTCGATTCAATCCGATCCGATCGGGCCAATCCGCTAGGGCCAGCCGATCGGGCTAGCTCGATAGGTCCAACCAAGCTCGATGGGTCTGGCCAGCCTGATCCAATCCGATCCGATAGATCCGACCAATTTGGCCAGCCCAATCCAATTCGATCTGATCTGATTTCGCCAAAAAACCATATCTAGTAGTATTTCTTTGTCTCTTAACTAAGCGTTAAGTAAACGAAAATCGAAAACAAACGTATATTGTGTATGATTGGCGGTGCTCCCACGTGAACGGTCGGCCCTCCATGCATTGTCAATCCGGTGGGACCAATCGGGCCTAATTGACTGGAAAACTTTCGTAATCTTATGTGATATCGCTTAAAAATCACCCATTCAGCAATCCAGGATTGTACAATTGCGCGTACAGCTCGAGTTCTTTTTGTTGCTGACGGAGTTTCGCGTCGTGCAGCGCAAGCGACGTGGCAAAAGCGGTGGCCTAGTGTTTGGGTTTGTGTTTTGAAAATGACATTAAAATTTTCACCCGTTGAGCCTGAAAAGTGTCACGTGGCTGTTCAACAAGTTGTTGTTGAGCTTTTTGTTCAAATTTTTCCCTCACAACCTGTGCTTGGAGCGCTCTATCTTCAAAATTTTGTTGACAAATGTTGAGAAAAGATAATGCAAAGTATAAAATGATAGGTTGAGGAAAAAATAATATGCGTTTTTTGGGTATAACGATTCTACATTCTACAAGAAAACAATTCTATTGTATTCTAAAAGAAAACGATTCTATTGCATTCTAAAAGAAATCACAACTACCAATCAGTAAGGTATTCTCCATTTTTATCGATGACTTATCGATTTTTATCGATGACTTATCGACTTATCGACTTCTTCCAATCTTTCACCCAAGTCCTTAATTCCATTTGTGAAAAATTGGGGATTTTTGGAGAGAAAATAGTTTTTTTTTTGATTTGAGCATGATCATCAAACTTTTCTCCCATGAAACTGTTTCAAGGATCGAAACAAAAAGCAATCTGACAGGGCTAATTCAAGAGAGTAAGGCGCATGAGGAAACAACTCCCAGTCTAGCTCCTCAATTTTTTGTGAGTGACTTTTGCAGGGTGCGGTTGTCGCGTTGTCTTGCAAAAAGCGAATCTTTGATGGATTGAACCCCAATTCCTTTAAAGCATCGTTAACTCTGGTCAATTGTTTCGAATAGAAATCAGCAACAATCAGCATCAATGTTCAATCATCAACCAGCATCAATCAGCATCGATGTTCAATCATCGATCAGCATCAATGTTCAACCATCAATCAGTATCAATGTTCACCCATCAATCAGCATCAATCAGCATCAATGTTTTCTCCTCGATTAGCTAACTGATAGTGCACCAAGCCTTTTGCATTCCACCAGCAACAGATCATTATTCTCTTTCTATTTTTTGTTCCATTATTCTTTCCATCAGGTTTGGGAGTAGTTTAAGAATTTTTCCGGTAGATAGCCATTGTTTTTTGACATTCTCGTAATTAATCTCATCTCAAAAGCGAGTCAAATGTCAAAATCGAATCCCAAAAACCACCAGCTTTGCATTTATGGAGTAAAAAGAAATGACGTTGACATGAATTGTTTTGTTGCCTTGAGTCAGTTCGTGTGGGACCCAATTGTGGGACGTGTGGGACCCAATTGTGGGACGTGTGGGACCCAATTGTGGGACGTGTGGGACCCACAGCGAATTTTTTTCCCCGTCATAACCACAATCACGTCAAATTCTTTCCCCCGAGGAGTTAGTGCAAAGGGTTGTCGATTGTCTTTCGATGAACATCAAACATTTCTGCTAGCTCCTTGCAACAGCACAGCCATTTTCAAAATCGCACACCCCTTGCTACAGGATTTGTGCCCGAAATTCAAAACGCGCATTATTTTTTCCTCAACCTAATCAGATACAATATTGCATTATTTTAATCAATCAATTTTAATCAAAGCGAATCAACTCACCATTCCATCTAAACTCATTTTTCACTATCAGCTTTTGCTCTTGCTCCTTGCCTTGCTCCTCAAGGCCATTCACCAATGGATAGTACTGCATTCGGATTGAGCTGAGGTCGTGTTCATTCTAAAGTTTCATTCCACTTTGTTTCCACAAAATTTTGATTGATTTTGATTAATTGAGTTAACCAACCGTTCCTGGCCTTTTTTGAATCGCCTCAACCTCGATGAAACTTGAAGCGATCAGCGGGGCGATGATGGCAGCAATGATGCCGAAAAGTAGAGTGAGTACAAGACAAAGGACACAAAAACCTTGTCCCAAGATCTGGCACCTGAAAATCGATCTGTCACATAAGCTGTCACCTAAATCGGTCTGCTTTTAGCTACCCAACATCTACACGGTGGCTCAAAAAGCTCTATCTCCTTTTAAAATGGCTCTCTCTCCTCCCTCCTCCTCCTTTTTCATATAAACTTTTAAGAATCCAGCTAAACGGTGTTGATTTTCCGATTCTCCATACATTTTCACATTAAGAGTCAAATTTTTAGATCTCTAGCTTTACTAGGACAATTTTTATCGGCTTCTTTATGGCCCGATTTTTAATGATTTCTTTATGATCCCATTTTTCATCATAAAAATTGTTCCAATAAAGCTAAAGATCTAAAAATTTGACTCTTGATGTGAAAGTGTATGCAGAATTTGAAAATCAATCCTGTTTGGCTGGATTCTCAAAAGTTTATATGAAAATTACCCATTTTAAAAGGAGATAGGGCTTTTTGAGCCACCGTGTAGCATCGGAAAATCAACACCGTTTAGTTGGATAGCTAAAAGCGGACTGATTTAGGTGACAGCTTATGTGACAGATCGATTTTCAGGTGCTTGATCTCGCGACAAGGTTTTTGTGGGGCTTTTCAGCAACCTGTATAAGCGATTAGGAAAGGCCTTAACAATAGCTTTTGTCTGAAAAGGATCTAAAGATTGTAAGGATCTGGTTGTTGAAGACTTTTTGAACTTCTTGGAAGACTTTTTGAAAGACTGAAATTTTATTCATTTACAAACATTTGACTGCGACGTCAGCCAAAATAGCAGGGCATGATGGTGAAGAAGTTTTGATGGCGAAGAAGAAGAAGAAGAAGAGGGTAAACAGCTTACGAACACTCAATTAGAGGCCACATTATCTAATCAAAGTCGATCAAATCATGAATGGAATTTCCACAAAGCTGAAACAAGCTGAAACACGCTGAAACAAGCTGAAACGTTGTTTGCTTTTGGTTGTGGGAAATCAATATTGGGAGAGAAATACACCAATGTATTGACTGGATGTCATTCTTTGTTTGTTTCTGAGAGAAAGGGAGCGAAAAGAAAGAAAACGGGATTCATGCAATGTTTTGTTTGCTTTTGGTGGCCACGCAAATGGTCAAATTGCTAAAAACAATACCAAGATGTGTAAAGAAAGGTTTTTAAAATTTCTGGTAGCTAGAGGTGGTCTGTATGGTTTCATAGTGAATCATTTGTGCTCTAATTGCATTGGCATCTGTGCTTGTGGTGCTTGTGGTGCTTGTGATGCTTGTGGTGCTTGTGCTGCTTGTGATGCTTGTGGTGCTTGTGCTGCTTGTGCTGCTTGTGGTGCCTGTGCTGCTTGTGGTGCCTGAATAATCTATAAGTATATGCTAACCAGTAACCGAAATTTGATAACGATTGCTTGGTTCAATCGAGAGAATGAGCCTCTAACGTTGATGTGTGTGTTTCCCTCTTTGTGCACTCGCGTCAGCTCAATCTCTTTGTGGACTCGCGTCAGTGGTGCAAAAGAAAAAGCCGATTTGACGGTAAATTCAAAAAAAGATGGCGTTCGATGGTGACATGATCACAATGGAATATTTTCGCAAGATCTCAAGCAGATTGGCATGGATCTGCTCGAGCCGTCGGCCTGAATAACGTCCCTCAGCTTGGCTTCGTTCACGACTTCTGGCCTCGAACCGTGCTCGTAATCTTCCAAAGTCTCGTCTCCCTCTCGGAATCGTTGAAACCAAGTCTGACACTGCCTGAGAGACAAACTGCCATCTCCGAAAGCAGCAAAGAAAGAACGATGCGATTCGGCAGCAGACTTTCCAATTTTGAAGTTAAACAGTAATGCTGCTCGTAGCACAAACTTTTGCTCGGCCATGATCTAAATAAAAAATATATGCATTTTTAACAACAACAACAACAACAACAACAACAACAACAACAACAACAACAACAACAACAACAACAACAACAACAACAACAACAACAACAACAATAGCATTAAAATAAAAAACAACGAAAAAATTCAAATGTCGAAATAAATAGCAAACAAATATGCGAACAAAACATAAAAAAAATAATGCCGTTAGCATCGCTCGCTTCTGATAAATGAGAGCTGATACGGCAGTTTCTTTCTGGAAGAGCTACTATGGTCAGCAAGACTCACTTACGGGAACTCTCAGTTCAAGAAGAAGACCTCAAGACGATGGACCTGGTGCCCATCCAACGACCACCAAAGGAGAAGAAGCTCGCCCACGACTTCTCAATACTAAATCCGGTTGCACCACCCTAATAGATAGAATCGTGGTTATATTTTCAGTTCTGACATTTGCTATGAGCAATGCCATGAATTCGAAGCCTCAACAAGAAAAACAACAATCAACCGATTTGTTTTTCGTGTTGGCAAGTTCTTTCTTAATCATTTAAAACATTATGATAATTGGTTACAATTGGAAACTTTTCCCAAAGTCTTTTATGCTAGTCATTTGTTGCTTGAGTATTTTTCATAATCTCTTATATACTGACTGTTTAAAGGTCAAAGAATTTGAAACTCTTGAAATCCACGACTTCCAGGCTCTAGTCAGCTGCTCAAACAGTTCGAAACTTTCCATTCTCGTCATCCCCATCACCTATCAAATTTTTTGGGCACATTTGTGTAAACTTTTCATTGGAATTTGTCTTTAAAAAGATCAAATTTTGGCGTTAGTCTGAAAGCATAAATTTGCCAACTTTTCATTGACAAATTCCAATGAAAAGTTTACACAAATGTGCTGAAAAAGTGGATAGGTGATGGGGATGACGAGAATGGAAAGCTTCGAACTGTTTGAGCAGCTGACAAGGGCCTGGAAAGTCGTGAATTTCAAGAGTTTCAAATTCTTTGACCTTTAAACAGTCAGTATATAAAAGATCATGAAAAATACTCAAGCAACAGATTGAAAACGATCTCCAAAATGAACACCGTTTTCTTTTCCCTCTGCACAGTCGGCATCTTTTTCATTTCGCAGGTAAATTGTTTAAATTTATTAACGCTTTATTTATTTTCGGCTTTTTTCTTTTATAGGCTGCGATTTAATTTTAAATTTTAAATTTAATTTAATTTTTAAATGCTTTCAGACATCAGCCACATGTGGAACGTTGGCCCCAAAAGTCGCCAATTCGAATGTCAAATTCGGAGCTGGAGGGCGTGAGTGAAATCAAAAAAAAAACAGTTCATGAATAAGAAAAAAACTATTATTATTTTTGTAAAACTAAAAAACTTAGCTTCTTAACAAGGTATTTACAATTAGGTGACTTAAAATCCAATGAAAATTTTCAAATTTTCAAATTCTTAAACAGATTGGTCAAATTCTAGGGATTCCGGTTTGAGAAATTGCAAAATTTGTAATTGTAATTGTAATTGTAATTGTAATTGTAATTGTAATTGTAAGTTATAATTGTAATTGTAAATGCATACACACACTTTCTAGCACAGTAAAGCTATAGGAAGCCCGCGTTTTTTTTGCATTTACCTAAAAGGGACAGGTGTCCCCATAGCCAAAAGTATTCAATTAGTTGCCTCAGTCTAGATTAGGGTATTCAGTCTAGTTTAAGGTATTCAGTTAAGATTAGCTGGATTACGGTATTCAGTCTAGATTAGGATATTCAATCTAGGTTGGGATATTCAGTCTAGATAGCTGGATTACGGTTCCAATACGGTTCCAATACGCTTCCAATACGGTTCCAATACGCTTTCAATACGGTTCCAATACGGTTCCAATACGGTTCCAATACGCTTCCAATACGGTTCCAATACGGTTCCAATACCGTTCCAATACGGTTCCAATACGCTTCCAATACACTTCCAATACGCTTCCAATACGGTTCCAATACGGTTCCAATACGGTTCCAATACGCTTCCAATACGGTTCCAATACGGTTCCAATACCGTTCCAATACGGTTCCAATACCGTTCCAATACGGTTCCAATACGGTTCGAATACGCTTTCAATACGATTCCAATACGGTTCCAATACGCTTCCAATACGGTTCCAATACGCTTCCTATTTTGATCTAATACGGTTCCAATACGGTTCCAATATTAGGATATTCAATCCAAATTAGGATATTCAGTCTAGTTTAAGGTATTCAGTTAAGATTAGCTGGATTACGGTATTCAGTCTAGATTACCTAATCACCGTGAAAAACTGCATCAGATAGGCTATTTCTCGAGTCAAAAAGCCACGAAATTATAATTGTAATTGTAATTGTAAATTATAATTGTAATTATATGTGTAATTGTCAAATTTATAAGGGAATTATACAAGATTTTGCGAAAATTACCAGAAATTTCACAAAATCTTTAGCATTTTTACAAAATTTCCAAGAAATTCAATAAAACTAACCATAAGGGACATTTGCTATGCTAATTTTTTTCTTATTTAACTGGTAACCGTTTCACTGATTGGTTTAGCTTATTTAGTTGAGTTAGGTAAAGCTTTATCCTCGAAAGCCAAGACATATTCAATTAAATTAAATCTTTCAAATGTTAACGAGAAACGGCTAGTTGACAGCAAGAGTTGGCAGCGTTTCACTAATTAGTTTAGCTTATTTAGTTGAGTTAGGTAAAGCCTTTGTCACTGGGATTCAAATTGGAATTTGAAAGATTAATTTGAAAGATCTAAAATTGTTGAAATCGGGCTCTGCTTCATTTGGAATGTCCTGTTTCTTTCTGTTTCTAGTTTCTCAGTTGAAAAATTTCAAAATAAAGAACAATATAAGAAAAAGCGTTACACAAGAAAATCGTTATTACCATTTTTCCATTTTTAGCATTTTTCGCAAGTTGTGGAGCGGGGCAAATTTGCTACAATTTCATGGGAACCGATCAATGTTTCAATGTGCGTTTGCCAATCGTTTACCGTTTACCAATCGCTTTTTGTACCAATCACTTATAAAACAAAAGAATTTCAGTGTGCTGACGCTTCAGGAAGGTTGGAAATGAGTGTTTTTTGAGAGTTACCATTAAAACCATTAAGTAAAACCATTGACACGAAATTTTCAACACTTTTAGTTGCTCTAACTGGAACACGAACGGTTTGTGTGCCTCCTCTTTCTACACATCGCAATACAAGCGATCCTATTGCCCGAGAACTTGTGGCTTGTGTTCGACGTTGTCGTAGACAGAAATATGCACAGCTTTTAATAAAAGAACATCAATTTTAACACTTATACAAGTTAAAAGTTTCAAAAAAAGATTGCGAAAAGGATAAAAATTGCGAAAAAACGGAAAGCAAACAGAATTCGTTGTCTAGAAACAAAAACAAAAACAGAAAAACCACAAAAACAAAGAAAAAAGTCGATTTTCATGTTTGGAGCTACAATATTTAAAGGTTCAGAAAAAGCTAAGGCTAACCAATGTGAGATGTTTCCTTTTTTTCTCGAGATGTGCTTACAAGTCATTTTATCTAACAACTAAGTCAGCATTGGTTTTGTATTAGGTTGGAAAGAAAGTTTGGAAAGAAAGAAAGAAAGAAAGAAAGAAAGAAAGAAAGCGGAAAAGAAAGCATTTCGCAAGAGGTTCCAACGTGGCGCTGCCATTGTTGGAAGAATTTTCTGTGAGTAGAAATGTGTTGGAACCGAACACGTCTTATGAGAATGACTTGTGCAATCTTTGATAAGCTTTTTGTCTTCAAAACATGACTCAAGCTTGAGTTGTTGGAGTTGCAATGTTGAAATGTTAACATAAACCCCAAAAAATCATTTTCTCAAATAAAGGAAGGAAAAAAGGGAGGAAGAAAGAAAGAAAGTTCTCGGAAAAAGTTTTCACGGTGATTTTTCTAGAACCAAACCATGAATTCTTCCGAAATTTCTGAGAGAACTTGAGAAACTTGGCTATATTTCAAAAAGTTTTTGACGAAAATGACAAAGACAAATCAGAGTGAGCTTCAGGGTAAAAAAAAATAAGAGATTTCTTCAGCTGAAATGACTTTCTTCACTTTTTAAGTGATCAGCCTTTAGAGTGATCAGCCTACAAGTTTTTAATGGGTTAATGCATAGGCAATTGGTCACATTCAAAACCCTAAAATGAAGTACTTAGAAGAGGGAATCACTTTGTGACTAAGGCAAATTTCTAATGCCAAATGATCTAATGCCTTTTAACTTTTCAGAATCCCCTATTTTAGCGAACACTCAGTGCCGAGAAGATAACACGAAAAAGAAAAAATGATTTTTTCAAATGCAGCTTCTCTGTAAAGAATTTTTGACCAAAAATCGAGATTATCGAGTATTGTTCATTTATGTCTAGCTTTACCTTCATAAGGAATCATTTTTCTCGTGCAAAAAGTGAGCTGAATTGATCATTTAATGGTTTCCGTCATCTTAAAAGCTTTTCCAGACAAATTACTGTTTTTCCTCCCTTCGACCAATTTTAGACACTCCTTTCTCAGTCCCATTTTGAGATATTTTAATGTTTAAGACACCAAAAAATAGAAGACATTAAGGGCTATCATTTGGTATATTAAACATAAAAACATCTCAAAATCAAGCTGAGAATGAGACGTCTAAAGCTGGTCGAGTCCTCTAATAAACGCCCCACTCGACCAATTTTAGACACCTCTTTCTCAGTCCCATTTTGTGATATTTTGATGTTTAAGATACTAAAAGATAGCCCTTAATGTCTTTTGTCTTTTGGTATGTTAAACATAAAAACATCTCAAAATCAAGCTGAGAATGAGACGTCTAAAGCTGGTCGAGTTCTCTAATAAACGCCCCACTCGACCAATTTTAGACACCTCTTTCTCAGTCCCATTTTGTGATATTTTGATGTTTAATATACCAAAAAATAGAAGACATTAAGGGCTATCTTTTGGTATATTAAACATAAAAACATCTCAAAATCAAGCTGAGAATGAGACGTCTAAAGCTGGTCGAGTCCTCTAATAAACGCCCCACTCGACCAATTTTAGACACCTCTTTCTCAGTCCCATTTTGTGATATTTTGATGTTTAATATACCAAAAAATAGAAGACATTAAGGGCTATCTTTTGGTATATTAAACATAAAAAACATCTCAAAATCAAGCTGAGAATGAGACGTCTAAAGCTGGTCGAGTCCTCTAATAAACGCCCCACTCGACCAATTTTAGACACCTCTTTCTCAGTCCCATTTTGTGATATTTTGATGTTTAAGATACTAAAAGATAGCCCTTAATGTCTTTTGTCTTTTGGTATGTTAAACATAAAAACATCTCAAAATCAAGCTGAGAATGAGACGTCTAAAGCTGGTCGGTCGAAGGTCGAGGAAATACGGTATAATTGTTTTTAAAAGTCGACACTGACATTTTCAAAATTATCTATTGATTGAGAAATTATCGATTTATTAGGTTGGAAAGAAATTTCTCGGAAAAAGTTTGACTAGAATTTCTTGAAAACGAATCCACCAATTCAAGAACACTTTATTCTCTTATTTACAAGTAGACTCAAAGAAATTACTCATAAAAAAGTCAGCAATCTGACTCATTTATTGCTCATTTTCTTCTACTGCTCTTCAACCCTTTTCATAAATTACCACACCAGAGAAGGCATTTTTGGCTGCCGAAGAATAAATTATATTCATACTTTATTCTGTTAACATATATGACAAATGACATGCGAAGTCATCGGCTTTCACAGTCATCGGCTTTCACAGTCATCGGCTTTCACAGTCATCGGCTTTCAAAGTCATCGGCTTTCACAGTCATCGGCTTTCACAGTCATCGGCTTTCACAGTCATCGGCTTTCAAAGTCATCGGCTTTCACAGTCATCGGCTTTCACAGTCATCGGCTTTCACAGTCATCGGCTTTCAAAGTCATCGGCTTTCAAAGTCATCGGCTTTCAAAGTCATCGGCTTTCACATCTTTTCACAGTTTCCCAGGCTTCTGGGAAAACTTTGGAAGCCGTAAATAGCCATCAACTCGGCTGTTGATGGCGTTTTCTTAAATTCTTAAACATCTTAACATTTTTGAAAGATAGATGATGTTCGTGTGGATTCTTTTCTCTTGAGAGAACGTCAGAAAAGAAAAAGATACAGTGGGGAAAAGGTTCAGAAGGTTTTTCTCTCTCTTTCACAGTGGGGGTATAGCTCAGTGGTAGCGCATTCGACTGCAGATCGAGAGGTCCCTAGTTCAAACCTGGGTGCCCCCTGATTTCTTTTTGTTTTTTTTTTTGATCCTCTCTTTTGATCTTCTTTAACTTTTCTATACGTGAGGAACTTTTTAGAGTCGATTGGTCGATAGCTTCGATTGGTCGATCTCAAAGTCTTAGATTCATAGTTAGAACGTTCGGGATCATTTCAAGTTGACTAGGTGAGACTTTTTAAAGGCTTAAAATGCCAAAAAACAACAAAAAGACAAAAAAAGCAAAAAGCTTTGCAGCAAAAGGATTTGAACCAGCGGCAAAACAATCAAATGTCGCGCCTGACACAAGACGTGAGGGGCTTTATAAGGTAAATACTAAAACTTCCGTGCCAAATAACTTACGTTTGGGCGAACGAGGGGAAAAGTTATATAGGTAGTCATGATCAGCATCGTCAATTCTATAAGATCCATTTGGTCTCACTAGAGAATGCTGAGATTTTGCAAGCTCGAATCCAAACGAAAGCGATATGACTTACGTAAGTCGGATACGGGCAACACGATGGCGCTTTATATAGTTATATAGGTAGACATGATCAGCATCGTTGATTCTATAAGATCCATTTGGTCTCAGCTCAGTCCCAGATGCTGACTTGAAGGACTTTCCTTGTAAGTACATTCAAGCACCGGATGTGATCTGGAATGCTCCTTTTAAAACGAGAATTCAAGTCCAAGATGAAGATTGGATGCTGAAAGGGCGAAGACCGTTGACTCATAATGGAAATCCGACCCCAACACCAACGAAAACCTATCTTGAATGGGGTTGAAATGCGTGAAACGAACTCCCAAAGCACTTCATCAGGTTCTCGTTCAATGATGAGATTACCAGGGCTACTGATGGCTCGAAAGATGATCTCATTGATTGCTTCAAGAAAGAATGACCGATTCCTGAAGGCGCAAGACTTCTCGCCGATGCTCCACTTAAATAATCTATCAATGGAATAAGGGTTTAATTTGAAAACATTGAATTGGATGGAGATAATGATTCGGATAATGATTATGTTGTTGATTTCTTGGCTAGTTAACTTTTTATCATTTTTTTTCTTTTATTTTTGAATGTTTTGCTATTAAATTTCAGGAAAGTCGTTGATTTTGGAAGAATTTTTGGAGAAAATGCTAAATCTTTTGCTAAATCTGCTATATCTTATTTGAAATCTATTTTCTTAAGATGCTAAAACTCTCTAATAGTATTGCGGGCTTGAAGGGTGTTGAAAAATTAGTATAGCACAATAGTAATGGGGCAAGGAGAATGCGGTAGTGCATGGGCGATTGTAAACTTTCAGAAGTACTTGCCTCTAAAAGATACATCTCTATTTTAAGTAGTTAATGTTATTCCGGATGTGCTCGGCCTTATTCTATGGGTAAGCCTAGGTATGGTATACCTAGGTCTGGGTAAGCCTAGGTTGGGTAAGCCTAGGTCTGGGTATACCTAGGTCTGGGTATACTTAGGTCTGGGTATGCTTAGGCATGGGTATACCTAGGTCTGGGTATACCTAGGTCTGGGTATATCTCTGCGGTGGCTTTATTTCATTTGTCCACAAGTTTTTCATCGTTCTGATCAACTTCACACGGGTTTTTCCCTTACAACTTTTTTATTTTCACGCTGTGAACTATTGACTTGAGTAATTTAAAAGTTAAACAGTTAAAAAATGATTGCAGTCTCATCGAAAACCACATAAAATATCGAGCCAAATATCCAGATCGAGTTTATGATTGTTTCTATTTAATATTTGAAAGCACAAGTGACAATGATTGTTGCGGGATCGTTGCGATGGGTTTCGGCTTGCATAGAAGCACGATTGAAGAAAAAGACATTGAGATCTTTCCGCATTCGAGCCGCATCCAGCCAACAAGAACTTCTCGATAGGTCTTTGATGTAAAAATGACGATCAAATTTGTGGAAATCGAGTGAAAACACGCGGACAACAATGCCATATCTGCCACTAAAAAGAAGTTACTCAAAGTTTGCACATATCTCTCTAATAGCTCAAAATTTGTGTGCAAAT